AGTTTTGTTATCTATCTATATAAATTCATCCAGTCTGTTGCCTCTTTGTCACATACTGTTGAGAGACTTATTCCTTCATAACTGGTGTTTCTCCTTCCAGTATTTTGTGTTTCTGTTCCCTTTCCTCAGGCTTCAGTCAATCTAAGAAATACTGACATCTCTGCTTTATTAAAATGTGTCTAGGTTTGGAAAGACAGTTGTCTGCTAAGGAAGGCAGGAGCCTCCCCTGAAATGGAAAATGTAAAGCTTCTCCCTCTGAATTGTTATAAATTTGAAATTAAGGGGCTCTCAGGCAAAAATATGGGAGCAGGAAATAACAGTTCTTTAATAGGGAAGAAAATAAAAAGATAAAATAAACAATGCAGTAAACTAAAACAACACTGACAGAGTCAGAACACAACCTGACACCCTGTTGGTCAGAGTGTTGGTAGCAATCCAATTGGAATTGTGGCTGCGCTCCTCCTGGAGTGTCAGGTGTGGTTCTGCTGGAGCAGGGATCCTGTAGAAGGGTGTAGTCTTCCTCTGAAGATCCAGTGGAAGAGACAGCTGTTCCTCTGGGAATCCAGTGGAGAAGCTGTGCTGGTGTTCCAGAACTCCAGATTATATCCAGGCAGGAATGCTTGGCTCCTCCCTCTGGGCTCACATCTCCCAGTGGATGCTGTAGTTCTTATCAGCCGTGCAGTGACATTCCATAGCCCGTTACCAGCTGATGTCCCCCTGGAGGGAAGAGTGGGTGTGGAAGAGATCAGGAAAACTGCCCAGTTAACAGAAGACAGCTGCCATACAGATGGCAAATAGAATACAATTTGCTTGGCAATCCAGGACAAAATGTATTTTAAAATGTAAGTGGAGAGCACTAGGAAAGTCTTTTTTAGATGGTTTGAAGCTTTTCCAAGCTTCAAACTCCAAGTCAACTCCAGAAGGCCAGAGAAACTGACAGCATTACACCTTTCCACCTGCCAAACATATGAACTGTGTTTTTTCTGTTCTTACTGGTGCATTCCAGCCTGACAGCACAGGAGCAGCTGACCTCACCCTCCCCACTGCTGCTGAACAGAAATCACCCCCTGCCACCCATTGCCACCACCACTGTGGCAGAGCAAGGGAGCACCACAGGACCCCACAGGCAAACGGTAACAGGCACAGCAATCTCATTTTATTACTGGATAACCTAAAGTTGTTGGCACTGCTGGTCAAATTACCCAGCCCAAGAGTTCCAATTTATTTGTTGTTTTGTGACAGAAGGTCAAATAGATTATCAAATAGAAAAATGTTGTATCAGTTTCGAGCAACAGCATCACCCACTTGAATGTTTCCCTCCTCATAAGTAGGTATAAAATGGTTCACTTTGAAAGTTAGCTTTAATTCCTGGGTTAATTATTTTCAATGAACTGCTGCACGAAGAAAAAGCCATAACTCTGTTCCTTCTCCTTGCAGAAACCTCGAGGGAACTCGAGCCATGCTCACAGAGTCACGACACAAGAAGACACTCGCCAGCAGCTGCAGGCACAGCTGTTCCTACCTGATCCCTTCTCCAGGCCTAACACAACCACCACATCCTCGGTAAAGCATGGCTCATTACACCAGATCATCCTTAATTACTGAAAAGGGTGCTTTGAGAATTAACATCAATCCATGTCCACTCTGTTTCAGTATCAAATACTCTCAGTTTAATTTACTGAAACTCCTACTCTACTGGTACCTTCTTGTATCTAACAACGTGTTTTTGTCTAAGCTTTGAAAGCTGTAATTTCAGCAGAGCTTTTAAATAGCTGCTTGATTGGTTTCTGTGTACAATTTCAACATCCTGGACTCAGCAGTTATAAACTCTGCTTTGCAACAGTGCAATATCCTGAAATGGAAAGACTGCCTCTAACTGGCCCAGTGAAAATTTAAATAAGTGTTAGAAAAGTGTATTTTCTACTTCTAAAGTTGATTTGACCTTTCTTTAAAACTTTCCTTAGACCTTCACAACATCTAACTCATTACCAAATACACGTGTTTAAGTAGTTTTTAGTTGCATTATAATCTTGCTGATTTTTTTTCATGCGAACAGAAATAACTTGAGCTGTTTTTCCAGCCCCATTCCCAGCGCCGCCGTTCTTGCACTGTTACTGATTCCAGTAATCAATCCTGGACGAGGAGAGGATCCACGAGTTCAGGTATGCTCGTAGTCACAGGGTTTAGTAAGATCAAACAAAGGAGATGGGACAGGGATGCATTTCCTACAGGGGGACATTCCTCCAGGTAATTTATACTTTGTCAAAGTTCCATCTGTGTCTTTAATTTGCCTTTATACAGATGTTATTCTTGCGATGTCCTGCTCTACTCCAGAGTATAGTTGGGTGCATTTTGTTGGGGTTTTTTTTTTGTTTTTATTACCACCAAATATTTAAATCAAGTAAGAAGGCTTAATGTCATCAGCCCCAGTGCCTCTCAGTGTCCAAGTTTTCAAAGGAGCTGTCAGCCTAAACAGAAATAGTAACTTGAGGTTAACAAAGGCACTAAAACTGAAGTAGCTTGTTTTTAAACAAGCAAGGAGTGGTTCCTACTGAAATTAAATAAATATCTGCCCCCCCTGAAAAAAAAAGCAAGATGAGTTTTATGACTGCTGTATTGACAAAAGCAATTTAAATTAGCAGAAAAGCTTTGCAGACATGAATACTTAATGAAATACAAAGGAATGCAGTTGCTGCAATGCATCAACTCGGCAAACATAAGCTTTGCCCTTTTTGGAAGTTACAAACAATGCAGCTGATAGCCATGTGTTAGAGTAAAGACATTTTAGTTTTAGGCTAGAGGAGATGTATTTGATACTTAGCTGTAATTCCTTCCCAAAGTCTTGAGGCTGTCCATGATCTGTTGTTTGTCAGGTCTTCCATCACGTGGTTCTGTGAAAGCCCACGGCCGAAGTGCATCAGGCACAAAGAGCAAACAGAGGCACTGATGTGCCATGGAGAAGCATCCACCCATCCATCCCTCTCCAGAGAGTCATGAAGCACCTCTCTTTCCCAGCAAGGTCAACGTTGTTTACACAGAGTTTTCAAACACCCTTCCTTACAGATAGTTATTTTTATATAAATCTAAGCAGCAGCTGCCAAAGATTAGAAGGGGTGCACTTAAACATTCCACTTCCTACCAGTAGAGAAAGTGATGCTCCAGTGGAAGGGTGAATACGTTCCTGTGAAGCCCAACTCCTAGGAAACCCAGCAAACACTTTCAGTCCGTGCTTGTGCTGTTTTCCATGAGGCTGGTGACACGTTCATGTCCTTACAGGCAGGTACTGCAGGACCTGCTCATTTTTCCCTTGGGAAGGTTAACCTGGCCTTCCACAGACGTAGTGATTTACATTTTTTAAAAAAGTGTATTTATATGTTTAAATATGTTTGAAGCAATATTGTACTAGCAAAAGCAAGCACTCAGCTTAGGCAGATGATGAATGCTGTGGTAGCTGCAGCAGGTATGAACACAGATGTGCAGAACCAAGGCAGCAGAGCAGGTGAACTGGCAGCTCCAAGGGCAGCACAGCACTGCCTCTTCCTGAGTTATAATAAAACCTTTTACCTCTTCCTCAGTGACTGAAGAAGGTTGAACAGGCAAAAAGAAACTTCTTACTACAAGTAGTTTCAGACAGCACTCAAAATAAAATCTTCCTGGTGAGACATTTTATGGTAATTTCACAGAATAGCTCAGTCTCCCTTTGTAAAAATACCTATAATTACACAAGATTTCTTCACTCCAAGGTGGAGCTTACGGGAGCTGTGTCTGCCCTGTGTGACAGACCTAACAGAGGCATTTGCTGGAGTTGGCCTTGTGGCTCCAGATAAGACAAATGAAACCATGAAGTACAGGCTTCTCAAAATAAGCAATTAGTTGAAGGTCTTACTCCCAAACAGAAACTGCCAGACCGAAATATAAAAAAAAACCAAGCTGAGGTAGCCACTGGCTGTATTTAAACAAAGTCAGGATGCTCCACGAAAACCAATCTAGTCAAATTAAAGAGCACTGTTTTACTGTATTTTCTTATTCTTCAAATTACAGTTCAGAATAGAAAAAAACCCCTTGTAAGTATTTAGGATGCTCCATGAAAACCAATCTAGTCAAAGAGCACGGTTTTCCTGTATTTTCTTATTCTTCAAATTACAGTTCAGAATAGAAAAAAACCCCTTGTTAGTATTTTTTTATGATATGGCTCCCTGATTTCCCCACTCCAGACCAGCTAATAATTTTTCATCCATACTGAAGCTCACAAGTCTAGTTGATCCAAACGTGCTTTAATCAAAAAGAGAGAACTGTGCAAATATAACTGGGTTAACTTGCCTTTGCATTTCCAGAAGTTAAAAAAAAAAAACAAAAAAGCAGCTCTGAGCTCAGTCTTGAGTTTTCAGAGAGAGAAGGTGATGCTCACCAGAGACCTCTACTCACTAAACCATTTCAAAATACAATTTCTCTTCTGGAACACTGTGCAGTGTGTTAGCTATGTCAGGAAAAGTGCAGATAAGCATCCCATTTGTATCCGTGCCATTCCTCAGGGACCGAGTGAGTTTTCTGTAGCGTAAGAGTTACAAAAGCAGACAAATAAACTTGAATAGACTTCTGCTAACATGATCTAGTGTTTCACAGCCTAGAGGAGTCAGTGGGTTTAAAAAATGCAGTTGCCTCCTAAGGCAATTTCTGTTTTTTGTACAGATGGCTGACACCAGGGACTGCTCCTGGACTATTTATTTTGTGCACTAAAAGTAATCTTCAAGCCCTGTGTTACAAACCACAATGATATTCTCTACTTTCTCAGAATCAGGATTATTTTTCAGAGCAGACAAGTAAAAGGGAACAGAGAAACCATCTACCTCTGGCTTCCCCCCAGGAGCTGTTGTTGAAGCTGTGAGAGCCTCCAGCTCCCAAAGTGTTCACCTTGAGACTCCTACACCTTTGAAAAATGATCCTCCCTGGAAGTGTGCAGGATTTATTTGACTGAAATCAGAAGAACCAACACAATTGGCTTGTTTTAAATAGCTTATTTAGAAAACATATTGAGAACTGAGGAAGCAAAACTCTGAAAAACAACCCCACCTTCTTGTTTATTAAACCAGCAATTTTCCAAACTATCTTTATAAAACTACAGGAATATCTGAAAAAAGACCTGTTGAGCAAAGACCTTTAAAAATAGCAGGAGGTTTGTTACAGAAGAAATGTGTGAACAGCACACATGGATCTCAACTGTAGAGCACCCAAAGAGCTGGAGATAGTAGCACAGGAATGCCTTGTCTTCCTTGTTCAGCACGCATTCCGTGTCATGCCTCCCACTTACCGCCGGTCAATGCACACAGTCCGAAACAGGAGCCCGAAAAACACCCAAAATTCTCCCAAATCCACGTTTCCATACAAAGTGAAACCTGGTATTTCAGTCTGTTCCTTCTGCCTTTCTTTTCTTGGCTGAGGTCTTCTTTCCTCCTTTCTTAGCACTGTTGCCATACTTTGCTTCCAGATGGGCGAAGAAGTTATCCATTTCCTTTTCTCGATCTTTGCTTCGGCGCTGGGCAGGGGGAAAAGAACACCAGCCAAACTCAGACCCTTTGGAACTTCCCAAACAGCTTATCTTGTTGAAATTTGATAGCTACACAAGCTACAGGAAGTTTAGTATCATCATTAGAACTCCCTGTGAAACCACCTAAAACTAGAAGTTATTGCATAAGTACTCCAAATATTTAACTCTTGTGAATCTTTAAATAGACACAGGAATAAAATCCATACTGTACTCTGATTCTAATTAAATTAAAGCACATAGTTAACATTAAGGCCAGGTTTTAACCTCAGGAATTCAGAAGATATGCAAGGATCCAAAATCAAAGATGCTCAGGGAAAAGACAATTATAAGCCAGTAACAAAATTATCTGCAAGAAACAGAAGAAGCCTTACTTTAATCAGCGCTTGCAAGTCATTTTCTCCACTAAGGCCCAGGTCATCTATCATCTTTTTTGCCTCTTTAGCTTCTTTTTCTGCCTAAAAGAGCAAATAAGGTTTTTTTAAGAAAGTATTTTACATGTTATCTGACCATGTCTTACAGGACTTACCAAATGCTTTTTGGGCATCTGTGTACAAATAGCTGCAGGGAAATGCAAAGGGTTTCCAAGTTTGGCCACAGATAAGGGATCAGGCAAGGGAAGCCCATTCTGCTTCCACCATTTAGCAGAGCAGGAAGTTTTTCTGCTCTTTCACAGTGTTGAATGTCATGTTTGTCCCCATCCCTGCTCCCACACCCATTTTTTTTTGTCTTTTGTCTTGGTAGATAGTACAATAACTTAAAGGTTACTGTGATTTGCATATAACATTTTACAAAGTGTCCAAAAGTATTTAAGAGTCCATTTAGGCCAGAGCAGTTTCACACCTGGCAGAAGCCAACCAAAATGTTTTCACGCTTGCTTGTTTTTGTTAACTCCAGCAACTCCCAGCTTTGTAGGTAAATGCAGGGACACGCTAAACTGTAAGAAGCCATTGTGTATGATAAGGAAATAAAGAAGTAGAAAAGACTTTCACAATTATTTGAGTTGCGGGGGGGTGATGACCACAGGTGACCAGATGTGAACAGGAAGGTGTGTAACCCAGCAATCCTGTGCCAAACATCTTGGAAACACCATCACTTATTCCTGACAAGGGAAAAAGTTCTGGTAATTAATTTCTGCAACCTACCCGCTTTCTTCTGGACACAGTCTTCTGCTTTGACTCCTTTACAAAAGCCTTGTAGGATGGGACCTCCCCAGACTCGATGGCTCGCTCGATCATTTCCCGTATCCTGGGCTCATCCGTGTAGTCCACACACAGCACAGACTCCATGATCCGATCCATGTCACCCTTGAAATTCAGGTACGCCGCCTTCACATCAGCCAGCTCTTCCTCCGAGTTTTTGTACGTACTCTTGAACTCTTCGATGTCTTTCACGGTGACCTGGAGCAAAGAGGTGATGCTTTGTGAGTTAGAGGACTTACTCACCAGGAGGATTTAAGAGAAAACACATAAAAACCAAAAAGTTCTTCTGTCTCCCAGCCCCATCCCGCTCTCACCTTGAATAGCAGCTGCCAATACTCCAGCCAGTCCCGCCCGTCCTGCAGCGCCTCGGCGTCCTCATCCACCATGCCCGTCTCATCGTACACTGCGCGCTGCTTCTCATCGCTCAGCACGGCGTACACCTTGCCCAGGATCTGCGGGAGTGGCCGGGATGTCACTTGGGGATCGGTCACTTGGGGGTCAGTCACGCGGGGAGCACTGGGGTGGGCGCTCAGGGTCGGGGCTGGTCAGTGGGGTGGGCGCTCAGGGTCGGGGCTGGTCAGTGCGGTGGGCACTCAGGGTCGGGGCTGGTCAGTGGGGTGGGCACTCAGGGTCGGGGCCGGTCAGTGCGGTGGGCACTCAGGGTCGGGGCCGGTCAGTGGGGTGGGCACTCAGGGTCGGGGCCGGTCAGTGCGGTGGGCACTCAGGGTCGGGGCTGGTCAGTGCGGTGGGCACTCAGGGTCGGCTGCCCGGGCTTCAGTCACTTGGGGGACAGAGGATCAGGGGGCCAGTCCCTTGTGGAGTGGTGGGTCGGTCTTACTCGTGGCCGCCACAGCCCCCCTCCCTCCCTGTGTCTCTCCTTCCCTCCTCCCGTTGTCGCTTCTTCTCTCCTCACCTGGAAGCGGCGCGTGGCCTCCTCCTTCTGCTCGGCCGGGACGCGGTCGGGGTGCAGGCGCAGCGAGGCGCGGTGGTAGCCGCGGCGGATGTCCTGCGCGGACGCGCCGCGCCGCACGCCCAGCACACCGTACAGGTCCGCGGTACCGAACGCGGCCTCGCACTGCTGCGCCAGCGCCATCCCGCCCCGCCGGGACCGCCACCAACGCCCGACCGCCCTTCCCGCCCGCTCCGCGCCCGGGCTGCTGCTCTGCGGCTGCGCCGGGCGGGAAGAGCCCGCGGGGGAGGCTGAGGGGCGGCACCGATGCTGAGGGGAGGCGGGGGAGCGGCCATGTTGGGGGGAGGCTGAGGGGCGGTACTGCTGCTGAGGGGAGGCGGGGGAGCGGCCATGTTGGGGGCAGGCTGAGGGGCGGTGCCGCTGAGGGGAGGCGGGGGAGCGGCCATGTTGGGGGCAGGCTGAGGGGCGGTGCTGCTGCTGAGGGGAGGCGGTGACGGTGCGGCTGTGGTGCCGCTGAATGGAAGCGGTGATGGTGCGCTCGCGGTGCTGCTGAGGGGAAGCTGTGGCGATGCGGCGGCGGCGCCGCTGCGGGGAGGCGGTGACGAGGTGGCGGCGGCGGCGCCGCTGCGGGGAGGCGGAGGGCCGGCCATGTTGGAGGGAGGCTGAGCTGCGGCCCCACCGAGCCGGGCGGCCGCCGCCTCTCCGCCCCTTGGAGAGCTTGGGGTGGCGGGGAGCTCTTCGTCGGGTAGCGTCCATGACCTGCTGGGGTTGCCGGTTCGGGCCGGGAGTGAGGCAGGAGCGGGGCGCACCCCGGCCCGTCAGGGCGCGTTGGGGTGGCCTCGCTGCCTCTGTGAGGCGCTGGAGCCGCCGCTGAGCGACCGCCGCGTGCGCTTTGGTCCCGTTACCGACGGTAAAATAAACTTTATGATTTTATCCTGCTCGCCTTCCCACTTCCCGGTAAACAATCGGCTCTGCTGGCTTTTGGGAGTGGGCAGGCCCTGGCACAGGGTGCCCAGAGAAGCTGTGGCTGCCCCTGGATCCCCGGCAGTGTCCGAGGCCAGGCTGGATTTCGGGGCTTGGAGCCCCTGGGACAGTGGAAGGGGGTGGGACTGTGTCGGAACCCAGGACATCCCTCTGGGTGACCTGGATGGTTTGGGCCCCTGGCAGGGGGCTGAGGAGCCCTGGCAGAAGGCCAAAAACACTTGGGAATTCGATCTTAGCCCCTGGGAGGAATTACCAACCTTGTATGAAGAGTCACAGGTCACAAAAGTTTAAGTAGCATAGTAGTAAGCACCGGTGAAGGGAGAAATTTTGGAACCATGTACAGGGGGGTTTAGAACCTTGTACAGGGGGGTTTGGGGTTCTGTCCATGGGGGTCAGGGGGTCCGAGATGGAGGGATTTGGGCGTGCCCTGTCCTCCTCCTTTCTTCTCCCTGGCATCCATGTTCAGGATGATGTTGGCACTCACAGATTGGTTTAGAGTAGAAAGTCACTGTCTAACACAGGTGATGGGTATTGGAACATAATTGTAAATATAGTACACGTAGTTTTTAGTACAAAAGATAACACCGGCCCGGGAGGCGGGCAGTGTGCCTCAGACCGACCTGCCAGACAGGCCTCTGGCGCGTTGGAGAAAAAAACATCTTAGATAAGCAACAATAAACAACCTTGAGAACCACAAACGAAGAATTCCCACTCTTCCTTTGACCACCGGGCTGGCTCGGGGTCATCCCCACCGCGGGGAACCCGAGAACTGGATGGGCTTTAAGGGCCCTTCCCACCCAAACCATTCCATGGTTCTTTTGTGGTTCTTTCAGGCCAGGTGAGATGCAGACAACAAGAGTTACCACTTTCCGTTTCTCGTGCCTGTGGCTGAAATGTGGAACGGACCAGTCCCAATGCTACAGAAGGAACAAACAACAGAACCAACTCAGATTTCAGTTCCTGGTTACAGGATTCAGATGGTAACGTTGTAAAACCTTAATAAAAATATATATATTTAAAAAATCCCCTATAAAAGCTATTTATAAGGTATGGTTTATTTACAAGGCATTATTATAATAAAATATTATAAAAGGTGTGAAATACACGAGAGCTTTGCTGGTGTTTACAGCCTGATTCAGTGCTTGTTTTGGTACAGTTCAGCGTTATAATTACAAATACACATCGAAATAGAGTATTTTATATAAATATAATTATTATAAATACATTTCAAAATATAGTATTGACAATATATAATGAACGTTATTACAATTTATCAGTGTCATAGTCACCTGCGGTGATTATTTCAGTCACTTCTGAGACAACGACCCCTCTCTTACTCGATCACCTCTTCTACTTCTTCGCGGGTTTTACATGTTTAGTGCCAGCACTCACTGGAGCACTAACGCACCAGGATGAGGACACCACGCACTGGGAATATCCGCGATTTAAACTTCCCGGCGATTCCTGCTCGTTTTGTCAGGCTTCGGGCACCGCCCACCCGGCACCGGCGGAGCGCTTTGAGCGGCGCGCCCGGAAGTGGCGGAGCGCTTTGAGCGGCGCACCCGGAAGTGGCGGGTGGGAATATCCGCGATTCCCGGCGGACACCGGGATTTAAACTTCCCGGCCATTCCTGCTCGTTTTGTCAGGCTTCGGGCACCGCCCACCCGGCACCGGCGGAGCGCTTTGAGCGGCGCGCCCGGAAGTGGCGGAGCGCTTTGAGCGGCGCACCCGGAAGTGGCGGAGCGCTTTGAGCGGCGCACCCGGAAGTGGCGGGAGGTTCAGGTCGAGCATCTTCGTGATGGCGGCGGCACCGCTGCGCGTGTGAGTGGGACGGGACGGGACGGGACGGGATAAGAACGGGGCGGGACACGGGATGAGGTTGTGGTAGGGCCGGGGCGGACTCTTACCGCGCGGTGTCCCGTAGGCTGGCGTGTGGCGACGTGGAGGGGCGGCTGGAGGCGATCTTCGGGCGGGTCCGCGCCATCCAGGCCAAGAGCGGCCGCTTCGACGTAAGGCTTGTGGGGCTTGTTGGGGGAGGCGCACGTGCCGTTCCCGTGGGGTTCCCGTCCCGACACGGCCGAGGCCGGGGGCAGCCCGGGGTGGGGTTCCCGTGCGCTGCGGGAGATGTGCCGGCGGTGCTCGGGTGGGTGTTGCTGTCCCATCCCTCCGCGGCAGCCACCCTCCTCTTTCTGCTCGGTTTGAGAAAGCGTTTGCAGGCCCCCAGCCCGCCCTGTCCAGCACCAGGCGATTGGGAGGAGCCGTGATCGGCGCACAAAAGGCGGGAGAGCAGCTGGCAGTCCTTTTAAACCCGTTGATGTTGAGTTTAGCTCAGATAAACACAAAGGAATCTCTTCACTTCAGCAAACCAAATGCTGCCGAAGTGGTGCAAGCAAAGCCTTTGTGTGTGTGTTCTGTCTGTGGTGAAATGGCAACTCCTGTTTATGTGGTGTTTTTAGATGCTTTTGTGTGTCGGGAATTTCTTTGGCTCTACTTCCGAGGCGGAATGGGCCGAGTACCGCACGGGGGCCAAGAAAGGTAAGGGACGAGGGGGGCACTGTGGTGTTAAAGCAGCTGTACTCCAGCAGGGAAACCCCCACAGGAGGGAAGGAGGGGTCTGTGAGAGCAGCCCTGGCTCCAGGGCCGTGCATCACCTCGGAGTTAATCCTGCAAGGCAGGGAGGGCGAGGTGGCTGGGAGCTGTGGGAATTGCAGCCTGGGGGCTCTCTCTGCAGGAGGGTTTCCTGTGCTGTTGCTCCCCAGGTGTGCTGGGGGGTCTGACTGGATGGGGTTTCCTGCTGTGATTGCTGGGCAGTGTGGGCTGTTGGAATTAAAGCTCACTGAGTGCACGGGCTTTTCTCCCTCAGCTCCCATCCCGACCTACGTGCTCGGTGCCAACAACCCGGACACGCTGAGCTACTTCCCAGATGTCAGTGGCTGTGAGTTAGCTGAGAACATCACTTACCTGGGTAAGGCTCAGGGGGTTTGGGGTCAGCCTGTGCCTGCTGGGGCTCTCATGAACGTTCTCTCATCTTCCCACTGTAACACCTTCCTTTTCTGGGAGTTGGAAGTGGCATTGTTTATCCTGTGGTTCAGACTGGAGTTCAGCTTGATGTCGGTACAACCTGTGTCAAATGTGAAAGAAAACCCTCCTTTCTTGGTTTGGGTTTCTTTTTTTTTAAGTTTCTCTGATACTGAACTTGCTGAGCAGAAGGAATAGTGGTTGTGAGAGCCTGTTTTTTGAAGTAATTTGTAACAGAGCGGGATGTTACAACAGTCCTCTGAATTATTAGTGTGAACTTGAATTATTAATGTGAACACAGCGATTCTTTTGAGATAGAAATGTGTTCAATTTCATGAAAAAGTGCACAATTATGAGGGTTTGTCCCTTGCTTTATCTTCCTGCATGTCAGTACTTAGAAATGAGGTTGTACAACTGTTTTTTGCTTTATCTACATTGACAGATTTCTAAATGTAACACTCCTTTTAAATAAGGATATATTTTTTGTCAGAATTGTTCATTTTCTAAATTCACAGCTCAGCAAAAAAGACACTTCTGTTTGTTGGTCAAATAAAAAAATGAAAGAGATTGTTCTGAAATTTTTTAGTTAAAACCACTTCACCTGTTTTTTGCTTTATCTACATTGATAGATTTCTAAATGTAACACTCCTGTTAAATAAGGATATATTTTTTGTCAGAATTGTTCATTTTCTAAATTCACAGCTCAGCAATCAGTAACTCAAAACCATTTCTGTAATAATAAATTGGTATTCATTATCTTTGGTTTAGGAGAAGTTATTCTAAACTTCTTGCACTTACCTATGTGTAAGAAATCATGTGGTGTAATGTTGTCCTTCCACTCCTGCTTTTCCTTCAATTGAGCCTTCTTCTCTTTGACTCAAATATTCATTCAGTTTTATTCCAGGCTCTTCTACTCCAAAACTCTTTACTTTTCTATTTTTTCTCAATTTTCTTTATTTCAGAAATTATTTGTTCAGTCAATTCCCTAATTTGTTGTTCTTATAGCATGCCTGTCTTATTCCCAGAGCATGCCTGTCTCTCTAGGAGAGGGTTTGAATGAGATTTTTTGTGTGGCTGTACTGCAGTAGCAGAGGTGGCAAGCGAAGTGTAGCAAAGCTAAAAGGAAAAACCAGTTTCTTTCCAGAATTGCCACCAAGACAAAAATATAACAAAGCAGAGGTGCTTGGCTTGGATGTGTTACTGCTGTGGATGAGTTTTTGGGAAGCAGGGAGGAGGGGGAAGCCTGGGGCTTGTCTGAAGAGCTCCGCTGTGGGCAGGCTCGGGTTTGCGCTGTGGCACCGAGCGATGCCATCGCTCTGGGCGCAGCACACGAGCTGCCTGTGGGGATGGCTGCAGTGACAGCGAGTCAGGGGCTGGGGCATTCTCAGGGCTCTGTGTGTGTCTCTGCAGGCCGCAGGGGCGTGTACAGCGGCTGCTCGGGGCTGCAGATCGCCTACCTGAGCGGCACCGAGGCGCCGCAGCAGCCAGCGCCCGCCCACTGCTTCAGCGCCAAGGACGTGGCCGAGCTGAAAAGCTCTCTGCTGTCAGCCCCAAACTTCAGGGGCGTGGATATATTGCTGACCTCCCCCTGGCCCAGAGATGTGGGCACTTTTGCCAACAGCGCGGTGAGTGTTCTGTTCCCGGGGTTTCATGCAGCGTTGCTTCTCTGCTTCCTCTCCGAGTGGAAGCTCTGTTCACCCTCTCCAAGTGCTTGAGAAAGCTGGGAGTAAAAACAGAGAGAGCAGATGTTCTGGTTCTTCAGAGAAGAAGGACTGAAAGGAGGGGGATTTGTGAGACTTCAGGGCATTTTAGCTGTCCCTGCCACTTTTTAAGTGTTTTGGTGTTTATTTCCATAAGTATCAGTCAATTATCTGGTTCTTCCTCAGTCTTGATTTTGAGGGTGTTGTTTCATTTGTGTCCTATTTTGTTGTGTTAGTGTTCCTTAGTAGAAGTGATTTTCAGATTATTTGGAACCTGTCTGCACAGCAAGACCACACGTGTGGCAAAAGAACATTTTTTGCTTCCTCTCAGTTTTTTCCAACATCCAAAAACAGATACAATCCTCAGTTTAAATGCATGAGGAACCTTCCCTCACAGCATAATAACCAACCCTGCTGCCCTTGGGGGTTGTAGAGAGTGATTTGTTGGGATGTTCTAGCTCAGAGAGAAAACTCAGATCTCAGGGCATTCTCTGTACTTGTTTAATGTGTCATTCTATGCTTGACTTCCCTTGGCATGAATTTTCTGGGAATGTACTCAAGTGTACAGAGAAGTTTATTAAACCTTTCTTTTCCCTGCTCTTTGAGAGGTTTAAACAAAACTTGGGTTGTGTTTTGTAGGGAGAAATAGATACCAAGAAGTCTGGCTCCAAGTTGGTATCAGATCTAGCTGCAAGCCTCAAACCAAGGTACCATTTTGCTGCCCTGGAGAAGGCCTATTATGAAAGACTTCCTTACAGGTTTGTAAAATCATGTAAAATCTCGTTTATTTTCAAGTAAGGGTTCAGTTTTTAAGGACCACAGGAGGATTGGTGTGCTGTCTGAGTATCTTCATGTCAAGTAAGGGTTCTCCCACTGTCCTTTCAATATTTTATGTGCCAGTACAGCCAGGTTTTGCTTCCTTACAGGAATCACATGGTGCTACAGGAGACCCCACAGCACGTCACCAGGTTTATTGCCCTTGCTGATGTTGGCAATACAAGCAAGAAAAAGGTACTGACGCCCTTGAATCTCTCTTCTTTTCTCAAATACAATAATGGGGCAGTGAGAGAAGTTAGAGGACAACATCAGGCACTTAAAAGCTTGGCTGAAGTGGAGGTATCTGTCTCACTTGAGTAAAAGGTCCCACTTGCCTGTTATGTCAGAAGGGTAGGCAGGGCTGCACGTGGTGTTCTGAGGCACAAACCACTGGAAATAACAAACTTCTGGCATGGGATTTTTAACCTGTCTCTCTTCTCCCCTTAAGAACGTTAAGGACTATTGGTTAGTAGTTAAGGATGCACAGGATCCAGGCCTGGTAACAGAAAAGGCCAGAAAGAAAGTCTGGAAACAGGCAGGGTTCCAGGATGCACTGCATAAACTCCTGGGTGGGACACTGGCACGGGGTTTTTCCATGCCCTGCCTTGGCACAAACACTGATGTGCTGAGTGGTGTGGAACTGTTCTGGGGTATCTTAGTTCTTAAGTGATCTCCTCAGAGGTGCAGCTGTGGCAGGAGCTGCTTGTCCCTGATTGCCTGTGTTTGTTGCAGTACCTCTATGCCTTCAGCATCGTGCCCATGAGCTCCATGGACCCTGCAGAGCTGGTGAAGCAGCCTCAGGACGTCACCGAAAATCCCTACCGGAAGCTGAGGAAGGAGGCTCCCAAGAGCAAAGCCGCGCTCTCTGCAGAGGTACTGCCCTGTGCTCCTCCCCCTGAGCCGTCCTGCTTCACTCTCTGTGCTCACAGCACTGCCTGGCTTGCCCTTTGGGATGTCTCTGTCCAAAACTCTGCTGTGGGGACAGGCTGGGGGAGCTGGGGGTGTTCAGCATGGAAAAGAGAAGGCTCCAGGGAGACCTTACTGT